CCCCCCTACATGAAAAGGATAGGGAAGGAGAGGATAGTGCCAAAGAATGATAAACAATTTATCTTAATGAAGAGGATAACATAAGAATCAAATATATTGATGGTTCTCTTAATGGTCCTAAGGTCCTATCGGTAGTGATGATATGAGACACTTCTAGTTTTTGTCTAATTATAACCTAATTATAGCCATAGGTTATAATTTTGTTATGGGGTTACTAATTTGAGAACTTTTAAATTCCTAGTGTATTGATATATTTTATATTTATGTGTAAGACTTTTAGATTTGTTCATTTGGCTATTGTGGATTTTCAAGATGGTTCATTCTTTGATTGCTGATTAATAGTTCACTCAATAACACTGATATTGGCACTTGAACAGCACCTTGGACCTAGAGATGTTCTGTGTTAATCTTAACATCAAATTTGGCAATTTGTTATTTTTCTTTTTGGTTAGACGGCAGATGAAGATAAGGAAATTGATGTTGAGGCCAACTATCAATCGGAAGCAAGCACTGGCGAGAAACGCAAAAGAGAAGGGAAGTTAAGATCTAAAGTTTGGGAACATTTCACAAAGATCATAAAGGAGGACGGAACGTGTGATAAATGCCAATGCAATCACTGCCAGAAGCTATTTACTTGTTCAAGCAGAAGTGGGACGACTCATTTACTCCGTCATGTAAGTGATGGGATATGCCCTGTTTTTAAACAAGATAAAAAGGAGAAGTTACCTGCGACATTAAATTATACGAAATCGAACCTTTTTTCTCTCCCGTGGAAATATAATCTAGGTCCTGGCCAATTAACCACCCAACAACCTGCTGATGTTGAGATTGAACTACTACCCGACGTGTTATCTGATCTTGACCATCAGGCTGTTAAAGAAATACAAGACGATGGTGGAGTTCAAAAACTGACACCTTCACGTGGAAAACTTCCTCAGCAGTCCACATTAAAATCTCAACATAAAGGAGAGCCATGGATGAATGAGTTAAGGGCTTGTGTAGCTAAACTTGCTGAGCTTACAAATGTAAAGATTCCAATGGGATCCCTTATGGCGGCACCTGTTTGTGCTCCAGATTACTCGATAGCTGTTGCTCTCAAGTTTTTGAATGAAATGGAAGATATCCCGCAGTCAAGTGACATGTACTTAGATGCTTTTGAGATTTTGCAGGATGAAGGTGAAAGAGAATCTTTTGTTTGTTTGCCCCCTGAACCGCGCAGGAGATGGATGCAAAGGATGTTGCACCGGCGCTACCCTCTACGGTACAGTTCTAGCATTTAGCAGGGGTATTGGTGATTGTGGCACTTAAGGGGACACTTTTAGCCGCTGGCTGTTTTATTATTCTGAAGATCTTGTACTTCTTAAAAGGAAAATAGTGGCGAAAGGCTATGCTTTGGAGTGCAGTTGGCTTTGGCCGATGTAGCCTATAACTATCGACCGAAGGGAAAAAGAAGTTTATAAAAGTAGGTGGGCACCGGATACCCTGGAATGAAGCATCACAGGATATAACTTCGACCCTGATTTACTACTCTTAGATCTAATGTTGTGGGCTTGTAATCGATTTTGTTTGAAGTATGAATTTGTATGCTTCAGGAGAAATAATATTTGTTGAACCCTCTTCTTCTTCCTTGGTTAGAGCTCTGTAGCTATCACTTTGTTCAACTCAGAAGTTGTCTTGTCGTCGTAACATGGGCACAAGGGGTGAAAAAGAGAGGAACAGCTTAGGAGTTTAAGGTCATGTTTGGTACTTACCACAAGATTAGATTTGATTTGAATAAAAGTAAACAAATTAGGTATAAGGTATTGGCATGAATTCTTTGAGAGTTAATCAAAGGATGCATAGTGATAATTCGATTCATATTTTGAACATTTGAGGAAGGGTGAATTCGAATTTTTTATTATCAAACATGTACAAGAAGAAGTGTGAAAAATAATTCTTCAGAATTGTTTTATACGAGTTTTTGTAAGAGTGTATTAAAGGCATTGACGTACAAGGTATGAATGATTGTTACACACTTTTTCCTGTGTTCATTTTGGCTCATTGAGTTTTTGATAATAACAAATGATTAATTGGTGTAATCTAGAAGTCTCTAAATAATTTTTGTAGTCGGCATCTATTTGATTGATATTAAAATCAAATTTTTAACAGATGTTAGTGAAAGTTATTGAAAAGTTGTGAATCTTATGAAATATTTAATTAAAATTAATTATCGACTTTGATTTTGATAGAAATTTAAATTATAATTTCTATCAAACAGGGACTTAATCTAAAAGGGTACAATTCACTCTTCATATTATTCTGTCATATTAACGAAAAATCCAATGTTTTTCTTTTATACACTTTAGAGCACGCTTGACAACTATTTTGGTAGAAAAATAAGTTTTGAATAGTAATTTTAGGAGAATATGTGGTTAAAAATTAAGAATTTTTTTTATATACGTATATAATATTTTATTGTGTGAATATGTAATTGAAAATGGTCCTGTGACAAGCCATAAAATAAATTAAAAAAATCAAATGCACTTAGAAAGTCGTACTCTTAGTTTAGAAAATAAAAAAAATTCTCAAATTAACAAAAATGTTATCTGGTCAACCGAATAATACTCCGAGTACTTTTAAAATTGACTCAGTCAAATCACTTAAATTTCACATTGACTTCTCAACAAAGGAATATTATGAAAATGGTTTATCCAATGTTAAAAGACAAAAATACCCTTAATACATTATATAATTACAAAAGTTGTTTATTTTTAAAAAAAAAAAATCAATACCTTTTTACTTAACAAATAAAAACCAAACATTTCCTACTTTTCTTATCTGTTTACTCTAACATAGATAAATAAAACACTCTCGTCTTTCATCTGCTTCAACCGCAGAAACTAAAAAATTTATCAAAATCGAAAGTCGAAAAATTTGTGGACATCAATCTCGTCGATTCGATTAATTTATATAAACAAATTTAATCTTGTTTTCGTAAAATTATTGTACATTTAAATCAATAAATTATATTTCAATATTTAATGGTAATGTAAATAAAAAAATTTAATAGATCTGTAATTTTTTAAGCATTTGACCAGAAAAAATTCATCGGCATATACTTTGTCGGACGAGTGTTGAGTGTTAACAACTCGGCGCGTGTCGATGATTCAACTATTTGACCGGCTTTTAAACAATCAGCTGTTTAACAGTCGATCAAACAGTCGGTCAAATAGCCGGCTATTTAACTGGTTGTTTGACTGATGTTAACAGCCAGCTATTTAGACGGCCGTTTGTCAACTATTTTCTTTTCACCTTTTTTTTGGTTATTTTTATTGCTGTTGATATTTTTCTTGTAATTAAAAATTATGTTTCAACATGCAGGTGTGGTTGTAGTCCCAATTTGTTACTTTAGTGATTTCAAATTGGACGAAAAAGATCAATGGGTATGAAAATGGACAAGTGTTAAACGTGGTAGTATCGCAATTTCCATATCATCAGGTACATCGTATACTGAACTCTATAATGATTTACAGAATAAGTTGAATGTTGATCGTTCTCAGTACAACATGGAATTGAAAATTAAATTCAGCGAGCATACATCAGTTTTGATTCCACCTATAATAATTTCTTCTGTTTATGAAGTGAATTATCTGATTGAATTGAACAATAAGCACACGACTCCTCTTTGCGTGACTTTAGTAAGGAAGGATGTCGTTGAAGATGAACAAGTAGACTCGGGAGGTGGGGATCACAATACTAATGATTTTTGGGATACGGTGGAGATAGCTCGTGAAGATGATGTAATTATTTCAGAGATAGTTGCACACAGAATCCCCTCCACAGCTTGTGATAACGTGAATGAAAATGCAAATACTTTTAAAAATGAGGAGTTGATTACTTTATCCTGGCAGAGACATGAGTGGGGTGGGACCTCGGGGGCTAGATCTAGTGGACCATCCTCTAACTCTTCACGTGTTGTTCCCAATAAAGAGGATTTGTATGTCGAGTAACTGTTTGAAACGAAAAAAGATTTGCAAGAAACCGTACACCTAATTGCACTGAAATACAATTTCGAGTTTAGAGTGAAAAATCTAATAGGTCGTTGTTGACGCTATCTTGGGTAGATGATAGTTGCAGTTGGTGTTTGCGAATGACGAAGATGGACACAAATAAGTGCTTCATAATTCGCAAATGTACACGGGAATATACTTGTGAAGTGGGAATTGTCGCAATGATCACAGGCAAGCCCGAGTTTAGTTTATTGGTCGACAAATAATGCACAAGTATCAGGATCCACAGATAATCTACAGACCATCGGACATCATTAACGATGTTCGTCGAGAGTACGGAGCAGTCATGAGCTACCAGAAGGTCTGGAAGGCCAAAGAATGCGCATTGGAGGATTTAATGGGCTTGACAGAGAAAAGTTATGCTAAATTGGCTAGGTATTACCATAACATGGAGAAAACTAATCCTGACTCAGCATTTTTTATTGAGACGGAGGCTGAAAACTGCTTCAAATTCTTCTTTATGGCTCTTGGACAATGCATTCGAGGATTTTGAAATGCTATGCGACCCCTAATTCTAGTCGACGGTACAACTCTAAAATCTAAATACCAAGGCAAGTTGATTATTGCTACATGTCAAGATGCCAACATCCAAAATTATCCTCTTGCATTCGGAATAGTTGATAACGAGAATGATTTGTCGATGCGTTGGTTCTTCACAAAGCTCAGGGAAGTAATCGGGGAAGTGGATGACTTGCATTTGTAACCGATCGGAGATAATCTATTATAAATGGTATTGCTAAAGTTTTTTTCGATGCACATCATGGATATTGCACGTACCATATACAAAGCAACTTAAGACCAGGTATCGGGGCAAAAACATTGTTTCACTATTCAGGAGAGCGGCCGAAACTTAAAGTATTGAAGAGAGTAATAGGTACATAGTTGAAATAGGAAGCAAATCATTCTCGGCATGGGACTATTTAACGAAAATGAGGATTAAACATTGGACGCGCTCATATTTTCTAGGACGTTGATACAATATTATGACGTCAAACAACGCAGAGTCTCTTAATGCATTATTTAAGAGGGATTGAGAGTTACCCATTCTCGCACTGATTGAGAATATCCGTACGAACTGCAGCAGTGGTTTCACGATCGACGTGCGGAATCATATAATTGCAAGAGCGTGCTAGCCCCAGCGTAAGAGGAAAAGCTCTTCAAGGTTGCAGAGGTTGCGAGAAAGTTAAATATCGAGCCACTAGACGAGTCGTACTTCTCTGTGGAATGTGCACGTAATACGGCATACATGGTAGAATTGACTGATGGAACATGTACTTGTAAACAATTTCAGTTAGAGAGTTTTTCATGTGAGCGTGCTGTTACGGTGGCTATGTATCGAGGATTTGCAGCGAGAACATTGTGCTCTCCTTATTATATTGCTGAAAATTGGAGAGCTGCTTATGTTGAAACTATATTTCCTCTTCTAAACGAAGTCGAGTGGAAAGTTCCCGATCATATTCGAGCGTTCAATACATTGTCGCCACCTCTCATTGAACCACGTGGTCCTGGACGTTCAAGTACGTCTAGAATACCATCTACTGGAGAGTTTCCCCGACCGCGTAGGTATAGTAGGTGCAAATCAGTAAGACATATTCGCCAATTTTGTCCAAGTCAGGTTCTCCTAAATGACAATTAAAGCATTGGATATTGTTGTCGATCTGAAATAAACAGTATTTACATCGGCATAAGCAATATTCAGATTTCAGCTCGTATTTACATTGAAATAAATAGTATTTATATGAATAAATAATTGCGAAAAATAGTTACAAATAATCACAAAAAATAATTACAAATATTAATTACAAAAAATATTTACAAATAATTTATGGATCACAATTAAATTCGTATAAATCGCACGCTAACTTATTTTGCCAATTCTGTATCCATGACTGATTGATTCCATCAATCTTATGTGCTATACTAAAAAATTATATGTATTTGATTGTGAAAATCCCACAATCGCTCCTGCAAAATGAACAAATATGCGTTAGATCGGTTCCAATTACGTACGAACTGATTATTAATTAAAAAAAAAGATTACAAAGACTTACGATATAGACTATCTCGTCGTCGTCGTGTCCCGCACGATAGCTAGTTTGTCCTCTACAGTCAAGCCCGCATGTCTAGCCATCAGAGGAATGATCACAATCACCTGCTCTAAGTTCCACTCGAACTGCCCCTGTGTCAGACATGAATGATCGGGGTCGTACACATATATCGTCGAATTAGGGAACACGATCTTCAGTGCAACGTAGTGCTGATTCATGATCACTAGAATGTACAAATGTGTACAACCTCCCATGACCTTCCCCCAACACTCGGTAACAACTCGATGACCCACTCGAGTATATACGCGGAAAGCACATACTCGTTACCCAGAAGCTGGAACGACTGATTCTCAATGGTAATGGCACGGAAGAACTCGGCGTTCAGTATTATTCAGCCAGGCTTGTAGAATGATTGTGGATATCTCTCAACTCGATCGTGCAACAAGTCCATGTCAAATCGATATGTTATATCAAGAAAAATAAAGAAATAAATACTTATTTCATTTAACAAATTAAACATAATGTATA